CCCCAAAACCCCAAAACCCCAAAACCCCAAAACCACAAAGCAGAGTAAAGTGAATCGAAAATATATTAATTTAAAATTTGAGTGTATTTGTATAAATCATCATTATTCTGAGTAAATAAAATGGTCTTATGCCTAACGACAATCGTCTTTGTACTTCTCATGATTTTCTAAGAGACTTCTTAGGTAAAGAGAATAGATTCTCAAATATCAGCTGATTATGATCCTTATTCAAATGACATAGACAAGCTAATTCAGAAATTTGTATAAAGTTCATTATCATAACAAAATCTTATTTCTGACTCCTCTATCACAAACAGTAGCATTAAAGATGAAAAGAAAAACACGAAAAAATCATAGAAATTGAAGAAAAAGAAACTAAAACGATTTGAATAGTAAGAATCCTTTGAAAATTCCTCTCTCCCATATAAATAATGGGTTACTATGTTTCAAAAATCTTCAAACTAGAAGGATGACTTGGCATATTTGCAATAAATGAGTCCTAGGTAAGGACATAGTGCAGTTTTATACTAAGGAAATGAAAAATATTTGAATTTGATTTAAGGCATCTCAACTGATACCTAATTCATACTAATTTTTGGAGGTATTGATAGTGAGGGTAAAAGATATAATGATCTGCATGCTATTTCTCTACCGTAAGAATCTCAATACATTTACTCTCAATTTTGAAATTACTATTTATAGGTCTTTTAAATGGCTTGACTTGGCTTAGATTTAATCTGAGTGCGAGAGTTCCAGGCCTACACCTCGTGCTGGTCATTCTTCTGTAGTGTTTGGTGATAGAATGTATCTCTATGGCGGAGAGGATTCACAAGGTAACTCTAATGAGTTCTTTGTACTGGATTTAAACAATCTTTGCTGGAGTAGATTAGATGTTGCAGGCATCTCGCCACGAGGCAGGTCATACCATTCATCTACTCTAATCCCTCCCACTAACTTTGACCTGGGAAGCCATCCTAAATGGGTGATATTCGGTGGATATTCAGATAAGGGGTTCCTCAATGATTTGGTGATTTTCGACTTAGTACTCCAAAGATGGGAGAAGCCTGTAACTATTGGAACTAAGAGAGATAGTGAGCCTACTGCGAGATAAGGTGCTTCAATGGTGTATGCACTTAACAGATTATGGTTGTTTGGAGGGTATCATTAAGGATAATTTTATCATGATATTTTCTAGCTAGATCTAGCTTCTAATGAATGGTCAGATATTACAGACTAGATACAAGGAGAATTGCCTTCCAATAGGCAGTTAGCTGGAATAATATATTAGAATAATCATATTGAGTCTGCTATGTAGGGATCCATATACATATACGGTGGTTGCGACTACTTTACTAAAGTTTGCTACAATGATTTATATCAATTGACTCTTAAAGATTAGTGGATGAAGAAAGTAGAGTTGAAAAATGAAATTTCACCCAGAGAAGGTCACTAATTGGTTAGTTTTGGCTCCTTAGTATTGAGTATTGGGGGATGTGATTCTATTAAGGAGTAATGCAACAATGACATCCTAGTTATGTAGACATTAAAAGAAAGTGACCTTGAGAAAAAGATTCTCAAAACTGATTCTGCTTTCTGTAAAAACAAAAATGGAATGGTAGTATACGAGGATGATTTGAACTTCCTATATTGCTATTGTGAAGAGTCGTATCAAGGAAAAGACTGTTCAATTGAATTATCTTGTCCTAATGATTGTTAAGGCAATGGTATCTGCAAGTCGGGGTTCCAATGTAAATGCTATGCTGGCTTTGGAGATGAAGACTGCTCTGTGAAATTAGATGGATGTGGGGAGTAAAATTGCACTCAATCAGATAATGGTGGTGAATGCGTGAAATAGACTGAGAGCAAAGGCTAATGCAAGTGCAACTCAAACAGATATGGATAGTTTTGCCAATATGACAATGATCCAAAAGAAGTGTCAGTAAACATTGTAAATTCATAGTAGGCAGAGAATAATGATGTTACTGTTGATGACTTAATAATTTAAAAGTATAAGAAAGCTCTGACTCAGTCTAGTTCATTCTTTGGATTTATGGAACCTCAGAATTTTTTGTAGTCAAACCGTATACAGACAAATAACTCGAACTGGAAATCAGCTTAAGTAGATGAAGTAGACTTTATATTTAAAGAATCAAACTCAAGCATGGGTAATGTACTTCAGGATTGCGAGAATGAATGCTCAAACAATGGAGTGTGCAGGAACTACATTTGTTATTGCGAACCAGAATTTACAGATAAAACTTGTCGTACTTCTATTGCAGAATTTAGCTCCATTGGGACTCCTTGGCATGAGGCTGTGTTTTATCTGTATGGTGCGATATCAATCGGTGTAATCTCAGGAATCATCTTGATAAGGTACTTTCTCCAGAAAAACAGAGAAAAGGAGTACATGAAGTTCAATTGAGAATGATTTTACAAATTTTCCTACCTTGCTTTAAGAACTGGGTGAAAGACTTTAATAATGTTTGAGTGAGTATTATTTTGAAAGAATTTAAAAGCTGAAATGAATTACTATTGTTGTTTTAATATAATTTTAAATACTTTGATAATATCAAAATTATAAGATGTCTCAAGACTCAAGTTTAGTTGACATCGAAATAGACAACTATAAGGATAGAATTACAAAAGTGGAAACTACTAGTAATATTCGAGCCCAAATATAAGATGAAATGCAACAGAGGAGTGCACTTCACAACTTAAAGACTCAATAGTCGAATGTATCTAAAAACTAAGCTAAGCCTACAGTTTCAGCGATGAATAAATAGCCCAAAATGATTGGGCCTTATGTAAGCATTTTCACTATGTATTCATTAATTTGTTTTAGTAAGTGGGAGAAGTCATTGGCAGAGGAGCCTGTGGGAAGGTGTTTAAAGGTCTTAATTTTCAAAATGGGTAGCTAGTTGCCATTAAGCAGATCAAGATCAATAATGTCAAAGTCGAACATAAGAAGTCTCTTCAAAGTGAAATAAATCTTTTGAAAAAGCTCGAACACCCCAATATAGTAAAGTATATAGGTAGGTATTTCAAAGTTTTTGTTTTTTTCTAATTATTAGGATTTCAATCTTTAAAGCCATATTTAAACTTAATTATTTACAGATTCAATTTACACTGAGCATTATTTGAATATTATTCTGGAATATGTAGAGAATGGCTCATTAGACAGTCTAATTAAGAAATTTGGGAAATTCCCTGAAACCCTTGTTGCAATTTATGTCTAGCAAGTCCTCCAAGGATTAGATTATTTACACACTCAAGTAGTGATTCATAGAGATATAAAGGGCGCCAATATTCTCACAACAAAAGATGGTATAGTCAAGTTGGCAGACTTTGGAGTGGCCACTAAGCTTAATGATACTGAAAAAAGCAATTCTGCTTTTGGAACACCATATTGGATGGCTCCTGAAGTAATAGAGATGAGTGGACAGGTAACATAAGCTTGTGATATTTGGAGTCTTGGGTGCACGGTTATCGAACTACTGACCGGAAATCCCCCTTACTCAAATCTCCAGCCCGTGTCTGCTATGGTTAAAATAGTTTAAGAGGGAATGCCAGCTCTTCCAGAATCAATTACAGATGAGTTGAAGGACTTTTTAAATAAATGCTTTGAGAAAGATCCATATAGACGCATTGATGCAAAAGGTTTACTAGAACATGCCTGGATGAAAAAATATGATAAAAACCTGTTCTAAAAAATCATCAATAATGGCAATAAGCTTCCAGAGGTAGTGTCAAATACTATCAAATTGCACATTAATTAAGTAGATAAGCCCTATAATTCGATGTATTAGAAAGTAAACCAGAGTGATTATTAGATAGTAAGAGCTTAATAGCATGTTAATAAAAAGGCGGAGATGGTTGAACCGAAGAAAAAAATCGAGGACAGTAAGTAAGTGGAATAATTACAAATGAAAAAACCTTTAAAAAAAGAAGATGAGGATGAAGATGGCGAGATAGGGGATTTCGGGGAAGAGATAAATGATATGAATGATGTTCCAATTGAGAGACCTAAATGCCTCTCTAACATAAACTTTAACAGTAATTCTTCAGATGTAGGAGATAATACACAAAGTAATTAGCCACCAGTAAGTAAACTTCGAAAGATGCAAACAAGTTTGCAAAGAGAAACTGAATAAGCTTTAGCTAATGATACTAAGCTAAATCATACCTATTAATATGAGCAAATTCAAAATACCTCGAATGGAGAAGAATTCAAAGAGGGTTATTCTTTCATTGGCATGAAATACCATAGCAAACAGAGATCAATACAAAATTCTAAATCTGGAATGATCTAGCCACATCAATAGATTCAAGAATAACCATTATAATTAGCAATGAATTAAACCTAAAGTAATTTAAAGCAGTTTTAGCAAGTATAGTTAAGATAAGGCTAACCATAGAACACCATAAATACAACCACTATTCAAAACTAAAGTCTTAGTTTAGCCAATTAATCTTAGTTGCAGCAATTTGTAAACTAGTAATCTGCTAGCCAAAGATAGAATTATAAATCATAGGACAAAAGTGCAGGTCCTGGCTCGGGAGATGGAGCTCCTCAAGTAAAATAAAGTTTCTCCTCTACCCCATAAAATAGATAATTAAATCAGCAGTAATAAATAGTAGGCTAATAGAATAATTAAGAGATAAAGTAGATATTCGATGTTTAAGGAAATAGAAAAGTTTATTATTTGACCAAGAAAAATAGATAGGCCATTAGCAATCATTAAGAACCTGTTCATAGCTATGGAAATTCAGGTTCAACTAACAATCCTAATGATGATTCCTAACTTTCAATGGGACTAAGTACTACTTAAAGGTAAAAGAAAATTGATTAGACAAGAACTAAAAAAAGTTAGATGTAGAAAGAGGATTTTGATTTACTTATGCAGCAATAACAGTACTAATAGTAATAGAGAGAAATGATGGCAAGGTATCACTTATATAGCAACTAAAATTCACAAATGCAGATGAGTAATATCCAGGCTTAAGTATATCAAAAGCCTAAATCAAATGACATTGTCAGATCTTAAAACAGTCCAAGTGCATAAAATGCTTAGATCTAGAGAATTCCAAATCAACTCAATTCTTAATATTATCAACATCATCCCAACTCTGGCCAGATAAACTATCATAGCAACAAGAATAATTAAAGTGGCTACAATTTTCAATTCTAAAATGATATGAGTTCTCAAGATTTTGAGCTATAAAATCCTTAGTTTTTAGGAAGACATTAAAGTGCTAACCAACAATAACCCCAACAATAAATTGTCAGAAATATCTAGCATTAACATAACTTTACATAAATGCCTACTCATCAAATGTATCAGTTCTCTGATTCTGAGTAAATGATGCTACCTGAGACTCGGTTACCTTAGAACATGGTAGGAGCTCAACCATTGAGAAAGATAACCAAATAATATGATCAAAGAGGTATGCTAGTATAAAAGAACTATCATTCTGGATCAAACTCAAGCATTTAGCCTTCATTTTAAAATTTGAATGAAAACTTAAATGAGGCAGGATAAATAGATATAGAAGATCACTATGAATAATTAGAAGCTAGTGATTTAGAGAATATGCAATACATGATGAAGTAAGAAAGTGATTACTCGGCTCCCTAAGTTCTAAGATAATACATGATGGGAGGAGGTGTTTCAGCTGACTTTAATTTGGCCAAACTTTAAAACATAAGGTAGCAGAGTGCATTTCACTAAAGATATGGAAGTTCCTTTTCCCAGCTCAATATGTACCCCAATTTGGAAGGATAGCACTCATAGCCTGTTTATGTGCCTTAGATTCAATCAATTGAAGATCACATAAAGAGGACTCAACTGTCTGAATAAAAATTAGGAAGAGGCCATATGACCTAATTCTATGGAAATAACCCAGCTCTCCAGCATCATATCCAACATAAATCAGTGATAAGTAATTTCTAAAATTCAAATAGTTCACCAAAGACAATCCACAATCAACTTGCTTAGTAGTAGGCTCTCAGAAATTAATAAATTAGATAGGATGGAATGAATGGAAGCTTCGAAAACTTTCTTGACACTGTGTCAAACAATGATGAGTAATATCTCTATGGAACTTTAGGAATCGGCTAAGGAATGCCATCAAATGTAAGAGCTTCAATTATAAATATGCAAAATCTTAAAAATGTACGAGAAAGCTACAGTAAGAAATTCGCTGAAGAAGTCAAGACAAATGAGGAGCAGAGACTTGGAATGATGATGATGATGGCTATAGGAAATAATGAGTAGGAATCTCAAACCAGGAAATAAAATAATAGGGGAAGCAATAGAAGCTAAAACATAGATTAGATGATAAGATAAACTAATTAGTCAATCTAGATGTAGAGTATTGGCTCTGGGAGGAGCAATGGATCTGTGTAAATAAATAATCCAGCTGAAACTGAGGTAATTGATGCTATGTATGAAGAGTGCGAGAAACTAATATCATTAATTAAATTTACTTAAAATCAGCTTGAAAAATTGAATAACGACCCATCCTCTTATACTAATTAAGAGATTGGCTTCACTTCTGCCTAGACTTAAATAACTGAAGAGAATTAAGAGATAGATATTGAATCAGCCAAATTTCAAAAGGAATAAGATTTGATCTAGTATATTTCAAACTTAGTAAGTTAGAAATAAAAATCAATAATGTTTATAGTCTGATAAGCTCAAATTATTTGGAAGCTAGAAACAGAAAGCTCAGCTTGCAGAGATGATAGGATATCACAACATGATTAACTTGTTGAATCTCTCTGATGAAGTAGTGTATCCCACACTCCTGCTGATTAATTTCTTCTGTGAATCATCAATGAAAGTGCAGGATAACTTATGCATCTGTGGATTCCTCCAATACATGATTAGATTTAGCAATCCACTAAATAAAAGAGAAATTATCCTGGATATTGGTTACTTCATTGGATAGATATTCTAAAGCCAAAGCACTGCCTTTGTTGTATATTTCTTATTGATTGACTAATTTCTAGTTATTTGTAAGTGGAGGAGGCTGCTAGATCCTATCTGATTTTTTGGAATTTCCTTATGAAGAGAGCAAGGATATGATCATGTTAGCTATTGATGCTTATTATGTTCTGTCTAATGAAAAAATAGAGTATTTTAGACTGCCCATCGAGGATATCACAATATTCTTATCCAAGTATCAAATCATTGAGAAGATAACTGCTATTATCCCTAAACTATACCAAGATATAGAAACCTCTGAGGTTCTTGTACAGCAAGAACAAATGCAAAACTATCTTGAAAAAGCATTTGACATACTTCAAAAGATGATGAGTGGGCCACATGATGTTGTGCAGAAAATAACTGTTGATAAAATCCTAAGAAACACCATTTGCAAAATTCTTTAGGAGACATTAAATGATCCTAGTCATTAAACACTGGTAATTATTAAGAGATTCACCAGAATAATGCAGCTGGCTACCTAGCATACTTAAATTTATGATGTAAGGATTAATCAGAATTTAATGATATTTTAGGATTTAGAAAAGAATGATGTAGTGAAAATGCTTGTAGAAATGCTGTAATTCTTCTTAAATGATATTGACAACATTTAGCTTGTAAGCTTTTATAATAATAAAATTTCAGCAAATGCCTTATGATACACTTAAACTATTGAATGTCCTATGTAAACTTTCAACTACTCGAACTGAATAAGCCTCTTAAGCATCTCTACTTGAGCATATATTCGATTTAATAGAATATTTGAAAAGCAAATCTCAGACTATCAGTAAAGGAAAGCGTGCTAGGCTTTAGAAAATTATGATTTCAATTATTCAGGAATTTATAGTAGCATCAAGAGGCACAAGAAACAACCTATGGTAGAATTAAATTCATGATACTCTTTTGTCGATCCTGAAAAATTAGCAGAATAACTAACTAACGAATAAGGATTAGACTATTAATGGAAAGATTTTGGATTCTTTCATTCTATGGCTTAACACAGATAACACAAATATTGAAAACTTTTTAGCCAAAAGAGAAACTCTTGAAACGATTTTTATGGTATTTATACAATATTTGCTGACTCATTATAGTTATATTTGCAGAATCCAAAGAATAAGGTCATGTTTTAGGTTTTCAATGCTATCAATAGAATGGTTGAAATAAGTCCGCATATCTCTTAATCTATAGCTTCTAATCTTATGCTTATTGAAAAGATGTCAAATCAGTTGATAAGTTTGGACAAGTAAATTGCCCAAGCAGATGAAAATGCTAAGAGAGGAAAGATACATCATCATAATAAAAATAGTTCAAGTGCTCGCAGCATCAATAATATGGGGAGTTTAGGGTCTTAGAGTTAATTTGGAGACGCTGATATCATTTTACAAAACAAAATTTATTACAATCAGAGGATTCAACAAAACGTCCTGATTATGAAAGAACTCATGGAAATATTCAAAGTAATAAATCCTAAAATTGATCCCTAAGTCGATTTTAACTAGTTAATTAAGATATTCCAGAAACTTTTGAATACAGCTGAAAAGCATAACTTTGTGATTATCTAAGAAATAGCTTAAAATTTGATAATCTAGAGTAAAGACATAATGGAAAAGAGAACACAGTAACAATAAACTTTGCAGACTTAGTAATAATAGCAATAATAACAAAATAACTTGAACATTAACTAATAATAAAACATCTCAGAATAAAACAATGTCAAGCAAAGATATGATATGTAAATGAAGCCAGGGGCTATGCAGCTTGCCCAAAATATGAGGCAGATTAACAATGGTGTTAATTCAACCAGAGCTAAGAGTCCTCTTTTCCAATGAGATTAAATTTTCTTATACCTTTATTAGTTTTCACTTAAATTTTATATCTACTACCCCTATATATTATACAAATAAGATGATGGGGTTTTGGGGTTTTGGGGTTTTGGGG